ACAGACACAGACACACAGACACAGACACACACACACAGACACAGACACACAGACACAGACACACACAGACACAGACACACACAGACACAGACACACACACACAGACACACACACACACAGACACAGTGAGCCGTGATGTCAATCATGTGACAGTGGCAGAGAAACACATGTGTGTGCGTGAGTGTGTGAGTGTGTGCGTGTGTGTGAGCGTGTGTGGGTGTGTCTGTCTGTCTGTGTGCGTGTGAGTGTGTGCGTGCGTGTGTGAGTGTGTGTGTCTGTGTGTGAGTTTGTGTGTGAGTGTGAGTGTGAGAGTGTGTGTGTGTGTGCGTGTGTGTCTGTCTGTCTGTCTGTGTGCGTGCGTGCGTGTGTGAGTGTCTTACAGTCCTCCCTCCAGGAAGTTGCAAATGTTCTCATCTCGCTTGGAAACCAGATGAAAGGTTTCTCTGATGATCTGCTGCTCTGTGTCTTCAGTCTGAAAGGAATAAACAGACATTAACGAGCCGCATATGAACCCCGAGTCCACAGAAAGCATCAGGAACAGACAGACGTCAGCAGTTCTTCACTGTGAGCAGCAGGTGTCGCTGTTTCTCACAGACGAGGAGGAGTGGAATTCATTATTGTAGTCCAATGCAGTATTTCTGAGGATCTGAAGTGACCTGATAATGACACTTCTGTCTTCTGGAAGCGGCCTTTCATAATCGATGAACTCTGCAGCAGTTATTGTGCTGTTTATCACTGTGAAGCTGCTTTGAAACGATCTGTACTGTATGAGGAGATAAACATGACTCAACATCTGTCACACACACACACATTCCTGCAGCACTCACAGTGTGTGTGTGAGTGTGTGTGTGTCTGTGTGTGTGTGTGTGCGTGCGTGCGTCTGTCTGTGTGTGAGTGTGTGAGCGCATGTGTCTGTGAGTGTGAGTGTGAGAGAGTGTGTGCATGTGTCTGTGATGTGATGATCGAGCAGCTGACAGCGGAACAAACATGAGCCGGTCACAAGAGTCTGTGAAAATGATCGTGTAACTCAAGAGTGACCTCTGACCCCGATCACATGTCAGGAGACAAAGAGCGCTCTTCAATATTTCACAGGCTGCAGCCGCTACACACACTCTCTCACATCATACACACACACTCTCTCTCTCTCTCACACACACACTCTCTCTCTCTCTCACACACTCACAGGTGTTCTGGTAGTTGCTAAGGTGTAGTGGATGTCAGTTGGTGGTTGCTAAGATGTTCTGGTGGCTGCTCGGGTGTTCTGGATGTTTGATAGGTGGTTGCTAAAGTGTTCTGCATGTTTGATAGGTGATTGCTACAGTGTTTTGGTAGTTGCTAAGGTGTTTTGGATTTTGCTAGGTGGTTACTAAGGAGATTTGGATGTTGGTTGGTGGTTGCTAAGATGTTCTGGTGGTTGCTAAGTTGTTCTGGATGTTTGATAAGTGGTTGCTAAGGTTTTCTGGTAGTTGCTAAGGCGTAGTGGATGTTGGTTGGTGGTTGCTAAGATGTTCTGGTGGCTGCTCAGGTGTTCAGGATGTTTGATAGGTGGTTGCTAAGTTGTTCTGGATGTTTGATAAGTGGTTGCTAAGTTTTCTGGTAGTTGCTAAGGTGTAGTGGATGTTGTTTGGTGGTTTCTAAGATGTTCTGGTGGTTGCTAAGGTGTTCTGGATGTTTGATAGGTGGTTGCTACAGTGTTTTGGTAGTTGCTAAGGTGTTGTGAATGTTGTTACGTGATTACTAAATTGTTTTGGATTTTGCTAGGGGATTACTAAGATGTTTTGGATGTTGTTTGATGGTTGCTAAGAAGTTCTGGTGGTTGCTCAGGTGTTCTGGATGTTTGATAGGTGGTTGCTCAGGCGTTTTGGATATATCATGTACTATATTAATTGTAAACATGCTGATCTAGTATAATTTATTTCAGATTAAATAAAATGAGACTAATAACTTGTTGAGAACATCAGAAGCATCACATCTCTTGACAAACGTTTCACACTCTTTAAGAACCGAAAAGTCAGACAGACGTGAGATGAAACACAGACCTGAGGTCAGTTTTGTCAGGTCACACATCCATCTGATTTAACAGGCGGAGGAGAACAGAGAGCATAAGAGAAAAGAGGCTGAGCTAAAGGAGTGTTAGTCCCATGCCTGCTTATGGTCTTTATTCATAGATTTTGAACCCTGAACGAGGCCATCCATCAAAACACTGACGTTGGTGCCACTGGACGTGGAAAAGCACTTTAAAGAGCGAGAGCACGGCTGGTCACACGCTTTCATCCTACATTAGACTTTAAAAAAGATGGATTTCCCTCCATCTCCCTCCTCTTGTTCCCTGCTTTCTCCTCTTTAGCATGCATGTATGTCTCCTGCGTGGCTTCGGCAGGCGCATTAGTGAGGGTGTTTGAGGAAACCTCCAGAAATACAGCTGTGCAGCTTCTCATTGTGTTTGCTGTGTGTGTGTGTGTGTGTGCAGGGACGTGCACAGACATTTTGAAGGGCAGGGACTCAAGTGAAAAAAAGAGCACTTCTCATATTTATTTTTTCTAAACAAAATGTTAAATATATTAGGGTGTGCGATATTGACAAAAAATATATCTCAATATTTTCTGGGATTTTATCGACAACGATAATTAGACGATATTTTGCTGAGTGTGTTATTGCGCTGATATCTTAAGGACTACCGTGGACAGCTGACTAAAGTTTTTGATATTCTGCATATTCTGTGTGGTGATCAGTTCACAGCAGTGATAGAAATTAATCTTTTCCAATAAGTTAAAAAATTTTTTTAATCTTTTATGGGCATTTTTACCTTTATAAAGCCCATTTTTCTAAAAGTGTGCATCATCTTTTCAGTCAAATTCTTAAATTGAATCAGTCCATTAGAATAATAAGTCATTCTTCAGATCGGGACTTCGGAGCGCGTATCGCGAATCGATTCAGATGCAGATTCTGGAATTTTTTTATTCAGATCGGGATTTGTTTAATCTTTGCAGAGGAAACACAGAAGCTGCATTAGAATGGGCATTTAGATGCATTAATATTGTGTTTATATTTTAAACATAAAACGTTAAATACTGATACTTGATATTTTTAAAAAATGAAAAGATACTTTAAATGTAAAATTAAAACCGCCAGTAGGTGGCAGCAAGTCACTTTTAATTAGTGAGTCATTGTGACTGAACCGAATCATTTAAACGGTTGATTCATTCAGGAACGAATCACTGTCGTGTTGCTCAGAGACGCAAATTGAAATTATATTTGTTGGCGAAATAGAGCAAAAACTGTCAATATTGTGTCTAAAACGTAAGTGTCTTAATATTAAATTCTTGTTTATTAAACTGCTGTATAAAATCAATATCACATTTGTAATCATGCTGCTTTTTGGTGAAAAAAACTTCAGTCTTCGTGTGATACTGATTAACTATATGAAATTATATAAATATATAAATTTCTGCCCCCATATCTTGAATTTTGTGATCATTCTAATTTTAATAAACTGAATCATGCAGTGAAAGAACATGCACTGGTCTAACCTACTAGACTTCCTATTGCCTTAGCTAATTAACTTTAGCCAACTTGGTAGCTCTGATGATCATGGATAAGATAATTAGCTGTAAATTCGAGGCACAGGTAGCTTAGTATGTTGTTCATCACCGCTCACCTCCACACCAAGACAAACACAACTGGAAAGGGAGGGAGAGCTTCACTTCTGCAGCTCTCTGCATATCTGTGGTGTAAAGTGTGCTACACTGCTGTGCTGCGGAGATGCGGAGGGGGAGGGAGAAAGGCATCTGAACTCGACAGAGTCTCAACATTTCCTGACACGACCTTATATTTTGATTCTTTATTTGTTTGACAGGAACAGCTGTGCGCAAACAGAAACACATAGACGCACACATATATACATGTATTCATTATTATAATTTTTTTAACTCCCCAGAAAAAAGTGCTCAAGCCCCCTTTGATGTCTATGTGTGCACGTGCCTGCTTCGAAGCGCATATCGCGAATCGATTCAGGTGCAGATTTGGGAATTTTTTCATTCAGATTTGGACTTCAGAGCAGATTCGTGAATCTTTTCATTCAGATCGGGAATTTAGAGTGGATTCGGGAATCTTTTGATTCATTTCAGGACTTCAGAGCAGATTCGGGAATCTTTTCATTCAGATCGGGAATTTAGAGTGGATTCGGGAATCTTTTGATTCATTTCAGGACTTCAGAGCAGATTCGGGAATCTTTTGATTCAGATCGGGACTTCAGAGCATATTCGGGAATCTTTAGATTCAGATTGGGACTTTGGAGGGGGTTCGGGAATCTTTTAATTCAGATCGGGACTTTGGAGCGGGTTCGGGAATCTTTTAATTCAGATCGGGACTTCAGAGCAGATTTGGGAATCTTTTGATTCAGATCGGGACTTCAGAACAGATTCGGGAATCTTTTGATTCAGATCGGGACTTCAGAGCAGATTTGGGAATCTTTTGATTCAGATCAGGACTTCAGAGCATATTCGGGAATCTTTTGATTCAGATCGGGACTTCAGAACAGATTCGGGAATCTTTTGATTCAGATCAGGACTTCAGAGCATATTCGGGAATCTTTTGATTCAGTTCGGGACTTGATTCAGTTCAGAACTTCAGAGCAGATTCGGGAATCTTTTGATTCAGATCGGGACTTCAGAGCAGATTCTGGAATCTTTTGATTCAGTTCAGAACTTCAGAGCAGATTCGGGAATCTTTTGATTCAGATCGGGACTTCAGAGCAGATTCGAGAATCTTTTGATTCAGATCGGGACTTCAGAGCAGATTCGGGGATCTTTTGATTCAGTTCAGAACTTCAGAGCAGATTTGGGAATCTTTTGATTTAGTTCAGAACTTCAGAGCAGATTCGGGAATCTTTTGATTCAGATCGGGACTTCAGAGCAGATTCGGGAATCTTTTGATTTAGTTCAGAACTTCAGAGCAGATTTGGCAATCTTTTGATTCACTTCAGAACTTCAGAGCAGATTCGGGAATCTTTTGATTCAGATCAGGACTTTGGAACGGGTTCACGAATCATTTGTATTTGATCGGGACTTTGGAGCGCATATTGCGAATCATTCAGATCTCAGTTTCAATGGTTCACCGTCGGCGAGCGATGATCTCTGTAAACCCATGAATCATCCAGGTTCGCTGACCTCAGCAGTGAAAGAGGTGAAGAAGTGTCTATAGTTTCAACCTGATTTCAGATCAGTTTTATACATTTTAAGACATTTTAATGAGACATTTATAATTAAAATGAATAATAGTAGTTACAGTTGTTTTCAACTCTTACACTAAATCTTTACGTGTCACACAGTTTCTGAAAGCTGACACTCAAACAGCAGAAGCACACACCAAATCTACAAAACCAGACACTGATTCTCAGCCTTTGACTCAGTTTTCAATTTCATAAAACACTTTTTGCAAAACACAACACACAGTTCTCAGTGTAACACACAAATCTAACAGGATGTATCTTTTTCAAACACAACCGAT